TTTTTTTGGAACCCACACACTTGACATACATCTCCTGGAGGGCTGTGTTTCAGGTTCTTTGTCCTTGTTGCTAATTGAATTTCCAATCCTTACACTTTCTTCCATGGAGTGATCTATCGATCCTCCGAAATTGTGGTGGCTTTACCTTCTGTGGGGTACTCTTCCATGTGAAGTTTTTGAATCTTTTCTCACTTCCCAATTAGTTACCTCTTTTGTTTTTGGTCTCTGGTTCATCATCCTCTTTCCTTGACTATTGTCAAGTTCAGACAAGTTTACATTAGTTTTTTTCTCATTCTATTAGTCTTCGTCTCCAGAATTTTGGGTGTCCATGTCACTCCAGTTCATGTCTATATTATTGATCTTTCCTGGATGGCATTGCTTTAGTTTTTTTTAGCTGGTTTTGTTCTATTTGTTTCTTTTGTTTTGGATCAATTTTATTGACCTACATTTTAATGGCTCATGTGGTATATTACTTTCCACTTTTTCATTTTTTCCCATCTTCCACGTTTCTTCTCAGTGGGATCCAGATCACCTTCTTGGTCCAGTATATGTTGTGGGTTGCTTCATTGTTTTTAATGCTTTTTTTCATTAAATCCAGTTTTTACATTTTGTCCCCTTACTCCATTTGTTTGTCTGTGATTTTTTTCCCTTCCTTCCTTACCTGTTGGGTTTAGGTTGTGATTTGATTGGCCTTTTCTTCCTTGTCTATTTTTGCCCATCTTAATTTCTTGGTGTCTTCATTTCCATCATGGACCTATTTTTTTCCTTGGTTGTCTACTCCAGCTGCCAGTTGGAGGTACTTCATCTGTCGAGCACTGGGACTACATCTCATACATTCATCTCCCATTCTCTGCTTTGGGTAGCTTTTTCTTCCTTGTCGGAGTACTGCCATCTACTTGTTGCCATCCTTCACTCTTTTGTGAGACTGTGACTGTGCAAGTTACCTTTTTGTATATATACATCTCTTTTTTCAGGGGCATGCCCCTCTCTTTTTTTTTTTACTGGATCCTGCTCTGTGGTGAGTGACCAGGTATTCTTTAAATGCTCAAATCCACACTATAAAGCCATGTTGACTTGCATATTATAATTCCATGGCCATGCAATATACACTGTAGAGATGGGGTGTTCCACAAGACTGCTTGTAGGTTTATCCTCATGATAGTATTGCTTCATAAATTTGCCGGTCCTGGACCCTACTCACCCATGGACTACATGGGTAAATCATATGGGAATAGCTGCTCATCCCTGCCATGCTTTGTATTGAATAAATTGGCATGGTCTGCTTTTAAAAATAGGATTTTGTGGTCACCCATTGCACTGTGTTGTCGTTCCTCTGTTTGAGAGTTCTTATGACTTTCCAGTTCCAAGCCACTGGAGTGGTGGACCATGAAGGCATCTTCCTGAATGGGTTAAAGAAATACAAACAAAATATAGAAATGATTATAAAACCATTCAGTTGGAAGTAAAGTGTTGGTGCTCTGCTAGTGTAGATGATATGATATCCTCCAATATGACACACAAAAACAAATGTGAGTGAGATGTCAAAATTGCAGTTCACTCTTTTGATTGGGATCCCTCATCCTACCTCCACATGGATGTTGGTTCTCAGTGTTTGGGTTTTGGATTTAGTGTAGAACCAATCAACAAAAGTCCTCACATATGTATTACAGATGTCTATATTCTTCCCTCATTTCTACTCTATCAGTGTTGTAGGTCAGGGTGGAGGTACTTGCAGATTATTACGGTTCTTCCTCATCTGCTATCCCTTGATGTTTATTTTTCTGAGGATGTTACTGCACTTGGGATGATTTTGGGAGATAGTTTACATTATGCAGACATCTTTAAGATACTGGATGTTGGGTTCCTGGATAGATTTATCAATTTATTATATTAACATGTGCCCTGTTCATGAGTCGGAGGGTACTAGATTCCCTCCGGTCTCATGAACTTGAGGTAAAGACGGTATTGGTCCTCTTTTCTACCCCCACCAGGTGGCTGGGTTTTAGATTGTAGTTGACTTGCCACCAGTATGATCCTCTTTCCTACCCCCACGTGGTTGTCGGTTCTCGGTGGCCTGGATTTTCAATTGCATGGATATTGGTTCCCAACAGCATGGATTTTGCATGTAGTTGACTTGCTGTGTCTGGTCCATTGGGCTCATCCTTTTAATTTTACCCACTTTTATATCTTCTGAGATTGAGTGTCATGAATATTGCATGGTTCAGATCACTATCCAGCCATAGTTCTCTCCCATTTGGATGTTTTTCAACCCATATATGCGACATCTTTCTATGATGGGCAAAGAGTATACCTGGTTCAGGAGTGGTGCAGTCTCCCACGTCAAATCTTAGAATCTGACTTTCTCATCTTAGAGAGTGTCCGTCGGACTCTTTCAAAGGATGCTTCTTTCTTTCCCTCACACCGGTCCCTCCACCTATTCAATGCAGGATTCTATCTATTTATGTGAGTGGAGAAAATGTACCATATCGCAAGTTATAATTTTACTATGTTGAAAATGTATTTCTGATAGGTACTTACCTCTACTCACACTTCCTCTCCATTGAAAACTGGTGCTTTCATTTTCTGCCAAAACTCAAAGTGGTAGTTCAGTAGAATTAAATAAAGGAGTCACATGCATCAAGAGAGTATGTTACACTATTATTGGTGGAGGTTTGTTGCATGAGATACACATTGGAATCAGTCAAATCAATTTGAGGGGAGATAAAAGACTTATAGCATGCATAAAAAATTTTTCATATAGAGGGCAGCATTGAACGAGAATAGCTATTTATATGAGTGAGGGTAAGTACCTATCAGAAATACATTTTCAGTAGAGGAAAATTATAACTTCTGCTATATTTAAGGGATTCACTGTGTGGTATAGGTTGAATGTTGCCAGTTATTGGGGTGAAAATGTTGCTGGAATGGCCAGATAAAGAAAGACGGAGAGTTTAAGGGAAAAAAAGAGTACAGTTGCTGTCTTCTTTAGAAAGTGTGACAAAGCATAAAATGTAGGTTAAAGGTCGTTATGAAAAATTTTGTTAAAAGAAAATGGACTTCGGTGTTTTAATGAAGGAAGCCCTGCAGGAGAAGTGGGGGTACTGTTGACTGGCAAAGACTCTAGAGTAGAGCATGCAATAGTTATAGTGATATTCATTTTTTATCATTTTGAAGATAAGGAAGTGGAAGATGAAGGAGTTGTGTATAGGAAAGAACAAACATGAGAGGCATAAGAAGAATGAATGAAACAAGATGTTGGTGAGAAAATGTGAGATTTTTATGTACAACAGACTTATAATGTGTACTAAACATTTGCCAAATTTTGTGAAGACACACCTAAATTTAGAATTATAGCAAACATTATTATGCATAGTTCTCACTTATATGGGTTCAGTCTATTTGACCAAGCCCATGAACAAATGGTAAATTCATATACCCGACAGTACTCTTTTGGGTTATTACTTTTGTCCTGCAATTGGGTCCATGTGTGTATGTCTGTGTTTCCATACGTGTATCTCGAAAATTAATAGACCGATGTATATAAACATTTTAAACAAGATGGGAAGTCAGTATAATACAGTCTTCACTAAATTCTGGATCACTTTGAAACATTTTTTATAATGGGGAGACGGGGCATTTTCGCAGTTTTCGTTTAATAACTCTCTGATTAGATTTGTACCAAATTTCCTGGGCACATTAAGATTGGACTCATCATCACACTAAAAAAAAAAATCCAGATCATTGAACATTCTGGATCTGAGAATGAGTTTCTATGTTTTCGAAGGTGAAATTTTACATTATCCAATATATATGAATTTAACCTTGAAAAGAAGCAGCTGGGTGAGGGTATGCAATCTCTCTAATTGTTCTTGTCTTGTTCCTTTGCTGAGGCTGATAACCAAGTATCAAATGCTACCTGAAATTTTGTCTTCTTTGATAGCATTTTGCTATTTCATAAGTGTCTTCATTAATTTATGGTATAGGGGATTCTTCTTTTTTGTTCAGCTCTGATGAACTTCTAATAGACAGTGACTTTTGTTGGGTTGCTAACATTGGTCCATTTCATTTGTTTTCTCTTTCTTTCCAGATGTCTCGCCAAATACATAGGGCTTTTATCCCATCATACTTTTTCCTGGATCTGAAAATTGCCTTGACTAGTATTTTAAGAGAATAAATTTGTCTATGAATTTATAAAGTTTAGTGCTGGTCATCTTGAAAATATAACTACTTGACTGATATTTCATGAAATATGGTATTGAGAACCCATGGAATAAATGTCTGACTGGATGTATTTTCATAAACATTATCCTTATATTTTTTATTTAATTACTTGTATGATTCACTGAATTACCAGATAAATAATAAAATTTGTGATGAAGAACATATGAAGTATAGCATGTGCATCTAAAGTATTAGTGGAGTAAAAATTTAGAACATTTTTATTTAGCTGTTGTGGACTTTCCTTAGTACATTTATCAACAACCAGGGTTTTTACTTTTCTTTAAGTGTTCAATGTAATACTATGTTTTGTGCTTTCTTTACGAGTTTATAAGTAAAATTATTGAATTTTTCTTTAGTAATTTTTGTAAGCTGTGAGCATAGTTCTTCGCCGTATCCATGCATATTTCAAATTTAGTGGATGTGATTTCATTGCTTCTCTATGAGTACAATGTAAAACTATGTTTTACCCAGCCATCTTTTGTTAAATATTATAAGCATTTGGGGATTTTGAAACTCCTTTCATTGGGAATATTCTTGGTGCAAAATGTATTGAAATTAAATATTTTCACCTGGTTTTTAATACAGTTTGTATTCTCACAGTAAGTTCTTCAACTTTTGTACAATTTATATGCAATATTAATTGGGTGTTTTGTAATATTACATTGTTTTTTTTCTTGTAGGTTGTGCTTGTTGTTTTGATTGATTTGTTTGACTAGTTAGTTGTTTAAAATGAAATGTTTGCTTGATGTATCATTGTCCAATGATTCATTTCATATTAGGGTGGAGCTCTTATTCAAATGCTTGAAAGTTTTCTTGGAATATATACCTTACAAGAGGGGTTGACACTCTACTTGAACAAATATAAATATGGAAATGCTGAAACCAAGGATTTGTGGGACTGTCTGACTGAGGTAAGTTTATCTTGTAGACAGTTTACAGTTGTAGGTTGTAAACATGGTGTACAAGTATAATTTTAAAATTTGGAATTGAATTTAATCATTCATAAAAAATGTGTATAATTTATTTTGTTTTTACTTTTTTCAAAAATTATTGCAAGCACTTTTTTTTAAACTAAACAAAAATTATGTTAGCTTTCTAATATGATATTGGTAGCTATGCTGTGTAAAAGTTTGTACATTTTACTGTGTTAGTGTGAATGAACTGGTATTGTCACCTCTTATAAGGTGTTTGGAATTATGATGCCAAACCTACTGAAGATGGGTTTGTATTGTAGTCTTAATTGATACCTTCACCAGATGATAATTACTTAATATCTGTATACTTACAGTAAGATTGTTACAATTTGATATCAGTTGTTGTCAGGGTTAATAGCTTATACAATCACCTAAGTCTTAATTATTAATGAGTAACTTTTTTTTATAAATAATCAGATACTAATTACTAAAGTTTTTTATCCTAAATTTTGACTTGCAATCTACTGCTATCCTCAGGAAAGCCCTGAGAGTGGCTATTTTCAATATTAGTAGTGGCTGGGATTCTATCCTAGTCTTATTGAAGTTTGGTACATTACTCACTTTACTGGGGTCTCCCCCTTCCACATTGAAATTTGAATCAACTGACTATAAGAATGTTTTCAAGAGAGGTTTCCAAATTTTGTTGACTTCTGTGCTAGGTTGACTGAGAGTTTTTCAGTTAAGTGGATGAAGAAGGCTTCTTTTATCTTAATTTTTCAATGTGTGATTCATATCCTATTGTTACGTCTCTGGTCGTTAGTTAATTTCCTGTATAATTTCTTTCCAATGAAACTTTAGCGACACAAGTCCTTTCTTAAATAAAACTAGTTTATTCTTTCTTAATTCAACTTTTGCAATACACTTAATTTCCACAGTCAATTTAACTTAACTAATTTTATAAAAACACGTTATAATTCACAGGAAACGATTCACGCACTTATTTACTACCACGCTTGACTCAATTGTCCGTCTCTTTCTGTCTGCAATTCTATTCCGATTGATTTTTCTCACGTTATTCGGCGCACTTATATACAGGAACAGAGGGTGCCTAGCACATACTGGATTATTCGTGATGTTCCCCGAGCCTTCGAGAATATCATGACGTGTTACCAGAGTTACGTGACTACCGCTGTCGTAACACTGCCCCTTCCTTAGTATTGTTCATCCCAAACAATAGCCACTTACATTAAACCAA